TTTTAGTATTTAAAATATTTATATTAAAAAATTTAGATTTATATTATTTTTAAATTTTTTGTTTAACAATAAAATATCAAATAAAATAAATAATCTATAAAAATGTGTTGCTCAATAAAAAACAGATTATTATGAATATAAATTTCAAATATATGTAGTTTAAAGCATAAATATTAATATATATGTTTTATGCCCTTACAACCTCATTAAATGCTGATTCTGAAAATAACGAGAACCGATTTTTGAATTTTTTTGTATTTTATAGCATGTATATGCTCAACATAATTTTTTAAAACTATAGATGCATCAATTAAGTATTTAAATTGGACAAACTAGATGCTATATCCTTAGAAGCAGGTGTAAGTAAAATGAATTTCCGTTAATGAATAAGAAGAGATAGAGTTAAATTAAGTATTCTATTGTATTTATAAGACAGAGTTAAATTAAGATTTATACTGAAGTATTTGTGTAAACAGAAATATTTTATCATTACTACTTCATACATTCTTTCGGTTATACATTATGCAAGCATAAATTTGTTTAGCACTGATCATAGTCATTTAATAAACATCTGCCTAAATGTAAATGTTAATACGCTTCTAAAAATGTTAATCAGACTGTTTATTATGACTGTTAAATTTTGTAAATCGTATTGACGTTTGCACGAATTAGATTTATACTATTGAAAAAATAAAAAAGAGAAAATGTTATTAACGCTTAATACACATCTTTGGATCATTCGTGTCCTGTGCATTTCTTTTCTTTGATTTATATACAACAATATTATATACAACAATTATATATAACAATTTATATACAATTTATTATAAATATATGATTTTCTGAAGATGTCAAAATATATGTAAAAATTGCTTAATAATTTTTATATACTTGTAAGTGATGAAAATTAATCTAGGACATAAAAGACCCATTATGTGTAGTAAGGATGCCAAAAACTAAGGTGTGTTACAAGGGTTAAATCAATTGTAATTTTAAAATCAGTTGTTATCTTGCATGAGACAATAAGAGAAAATATATCTAGAATTGTATGTTTTAGTGATTTTCATACAAAAAGTTTAGCAAAATCAATGATGAAACTTCAATGAAGTTAATTCCAATAGAATTTCACAAATTAACTGCTTGATACATAAGACTGAATACATTCTTAGGATAAGTGTGTAGCGAAATAAGTTAATTTAAATACATATTATTATTATTATGCTAACACGATAAAGTACGATGTACTTAATTCCGGGAAATAAGATTTTAATTTTTTTTATAGAGATGAAGAAATATTGTAGGAGCTAGAATTAATTCATATGCTTTTACTTTACTTGCAGTTATTTTACTTGTGATATAACAATTGTATCTTAAAATATGTATTTTAGTTTATATAATCAGACAACAAAATTACGTTGCTATCACAAGCGTTTTTACTTTCCGTACTTGCATAATGCAAATGATGTTATTCAATGACTTGTAAACATTAAGCAAAAAATTATTATAAGATATAGTAATAACAATAATTTAAAGGATATACATAGACGTCTATTTTTTCTTTCCCTTTCAGTAGAAAAATTATCACCATAAACTATCTAAATTTATTTATATTGGACACTATACAGAGTAGATTGCTATTTTATATAACCACAAAGCGCATGAAGTAGAAAAGTATTAATATAATATTCTATAACAGATTAGAATAGATCATGTAAGGATTATCGTGTAAAGTCTACATTTATTTCTTTATATCTTCGAAGATATTTTTAAGCTTTCAATTTTTTTAAAGAATGTGTTTATTGGATTTGCAATAATTTTCGCATTTCCGTTAATTCGAAATATACACAAATACAATAGTACTTACCTTTAATAGCCACGTCAACACTGATTCACGGTATGGCACAAAACCTTGTTTACGATTGTTTGTGTTCTCTGTGAGTGATGCAATTACTTTTCCCAAGGTAAGTAAAGACTTGTTAATAGATACACCTTCCTGTTGAACAAAGCAATATATATTATACAGTATTAACAATTATTTAATGAATTTTGTAAATAAAATATTGTATCAGAAACTGACTCTTAATCTATCACCAGTTGCAGAAGTTTGACTCAATCTCTCACTACCAGCTAAGTCAACCAAATTAATTTTACTACGACGATCAGCATCAAGTGGCTGATAATCCAACTGGTTGTCTATATGCGTCTGAGTTAATATAATACTGAAAATGCTGTGAGACCGTGAGCTTTTCTCATTCATACCAGTTGCGGCCGTGGCTCTTTGCGAGTTTCCCACTTTAAGCCAAGTCTAAAAAGATTGCGTCAACAAAGAAATAAGTATATATTTAAACAATTGTAATCACATTATGAAATTATGAAAGTACCTGTAAGTCTTTGTAGTTTTGCACACAATGCTGGCTCAAATCCACGACATAGGGTCCGAAGACAGGATGCTCCCTTACTTTAAGAGGAGCCTTCTTTGACCCATTGTTCGTATTCGCCAACAGATCATGTATTTTTTCATTATATATTTCAAAATAGCTAATTTCTACGGTAGTCTCGATCTGTGGATTGTCACGCGCTCGTGTAAATATTTCCTGGCAAAATCTTGGTATGATACCGACTCTCTCGTCAAATGGCGTCGCGCTTAATTGCACAGATTCTGTGCCCATTAAACTATAACTTTTTCCCGATCCCGTCTGTCCATACGCAAACAAACAGACATTGTATCCCTCGAAAGCATTTTGTACTAAGGGCAACACCATATTGCGAAAGACGACCTCTTGATTGGCATGACCAGGTGTAAGCGGGTCATTGTATGAAACAAAGCAATGATCATACATAAAAGTGTGGTGCGCAGATTCACATTCCACAGCAACATTCTGACCATTTCCTTCCACGATTCTAGTAATTTTTGGATCGTTTAATTCTCTGAAATAACAAATATTGAGTGAGTAATGAAATGCTGTTTGCTAGTAAATATAGAAAAATAGAAAATAAAAAATTAATTAAGGGCAAAGAAAATAAAAATAAGATCTTCAAATCTTAATTAATATCTTATTGATAAAACAATTTTATCAGTAAGAAACATTATGTACAAATGTATTAGTTTTTCAAAGATTATAATTTAATACATGAATATCTCAATTTTAAATAATTAAAAAATGTACACATACAAATTAAAAATTTATTATATAATAGTTAATCTTACTTGGCATTCAAGGGTCTGATGCGTACTCCAACAGTGAGATTGCTACTTTCACCATCATACATTGTCTGTTCTCCAACAACTATGTCATCAATTTTCTGGGATGGAGTTTCCAAGTGAACCACATTATAACAGTCTGGTGTACTCTGCGATAGAGCATGATCGCTGAAGTAACGTTTCACAGGTGTCTTTGTGGTAGATAAGACATTAAATTTGGTATTGGAACTGGGTGTATTTATTCTTGTTTGCTTAGGTGTATAGAATTGTATGGCAGGTGTTTTTTCATTGAACGATCCGCTAACAAATTTTGTTGTTTTAATTGGGGTCTTTACACTCCTTTCAATGGACGTAACATTATTAGATACGTCTTCCTGTTTTGCTAGGTTTGTAAGTTTCAGACATGATTCTGTATTGGATGATTTGCTTGGAGGTCCTAAGGTTTCTGCTATTTCAGGTTTTGAAGATTCCTTCTGTAAAGGACATTGCACTACCTTGTTTGTATTCTGCCCCTTTGTTGAAGCTGATGACTCTTTGGACAAGGAAGGATACAAATTTTTCTTTCTGCAATAAAGGTCATTATTTTATTTTGGTAAATTATTTTATTTATATTTAACAAACATAATAAGATCAAGACTGGGTTGTTCCATCTTTCGGTAAACTTCAGCTCACTGTTTTACTTTTTTACTCCCTTATGCTATCCTGTACTCTTACTTTTTTATTTACCTAACAGATAAATTATCACATGATTTATCTGAAAATAGAACAACCAGCCCTAAATAAAACGGGAAAATGATAATTTGAAAAAAAATCATTTTTAATTTTAACTCTCTCTTATATTGTTTTAATATAACTACATTTGTATATTTGATTTATATAAACATAAATAAAAATGGAAAAATATTTTATTTGGAAACAATGCGTGATTTACGCACTATTTATCTCGATGACGTATGCTAATTTTCCATTCTCTCATTTTACAAGTGACGGTTAAACAATGTCAAGCAAACTTTGCCTTACGTTTTTATCGCAGGGACGGTGTTTTCCTTGTTAGAACTCCTCGGTGAAGTCGAGAAGATAGCTTCGCAGTACCCGTGGTTAGAAGATTTCGAGCTTTGGTGAGACATTTCGGTGAAAATCGCAGAAAAAAAGCTACTTAGTTCAGTAGTGAGATGATGCAAACGGAATTTAAACGAATTTGAGTTTTGTGACCTAACTTTACGAGGCACGGGACTCACAGCATGAAGTATAAAAAATATACATAGAGGCGACCATGCGACGCATGACAAGAATTCGTAATGCTGGATTCACACTGCATCCGATGTGCGTCGTACGACGCTTTGCAACCAATCAGTAAACAGGATTCCGATGGATTCTGCTTCGTATCATCGGAATCCTGTTTTCTCATTGGTTGCAGAGCGTCTTACGACGCAAATCGGATGCAGTGTGAATCCAGCATATGGGTGTTTTCCATTTGATGACACAAATCAACACAAATCGATACAAGCGTCATTTTATCCTTGTTGACATTCAGAGAGTGACAAAGATAGAATGACACTTGTGTCGACTTGTGCCATCAAATGGAAAGCACCCAATGAAAACAAATTTCAACCTATCAGAAACCACGTATACTAGAATGGACGCTTTCTGATAGGTTGAAATCTTTTATTCCCTGTTTCTATTGCCTGTGCTTTTCATTGTGTTTTCGGCTTAACCCACCGAAGGGATTCGTGAGGTCCATCACGTCCGTGTCCAACTCCTGAAGGTCAAACTGATTGAAGCCTCGAAGGCGCTCGAGGGTCGAAGGTGGTCGAAGGTTAGGTGGAATCAGGTGGAATGGTGGCTGGTGGTGGTCGTGGTGGGATTGTTAGGATTGTTAGGAAGCAGTAGGGGTGAGTGAGGTTAATTGGGTATACGTGGTTTATATGACATATTTTGTTTGCAAAGCTGCCTTTGATTGTATCGTGCCAGCACAGGCACGTATGTTCACGTCACATCAGGTGAACGCATCTTGTTTGTGTCAACGAAATTACAAAGGAGATCACGATGACAGGGGATAACCGGGCCTCCATGCGCAAATGGATCTCGAGGATAATAGTCGCCACGTTCCTCGCGCTCATTATTTTGAATCTGCCGGCGATCTGCGAGAGCCATGACGGCCACAACCACGAGTCGCCGAGTTACAAGTATTCCAAAGAAGCCAACGAAATCTACTCAAATGAACATGAACATGAACATCAACATCAACATCAGCATCATCATCATGATGAAAATCATGTTCACCATGATCATAAGCACTATTCGACGCAAGCAAATACTTTACATAGGGATCACAGTAATATTATATTAAGGGCCGTTGGGTCAACCTTAATCATATCTGCTGCACCTTTCTTTATATTATTCTTTGTGCCTCTGGATAATACTAAACAACGCGAGTCACTGCTCAAGATCTTGCTGAGTTTTGCATCCGGTGGCCTACTGGGTGATGCATTTCTTCATTTGATTCCACACGCGATGATTCCTCATTCGCATGAATGTTCAGAATCGCACTCACATTCTCATTCCCATAGTCACCATGATGAGTCAGGACTTCACAAACATGATATATCTGTTGGTTTGTGCATATTGTTAGGGATAACAGTGTTTCTAATGGTGGAGAAGGCAGTACGCATCGTTAAAGGCGATCACAGTCACTCACATGTCCATCATTATTCTCAAGATAAAAAAGATAATTTGGTAGAGAAGAAAAAGGAAAAGAAAGAAGAGAAGAAAAACAGTGATAAAACAGTTTCCAAAGCACACAAAGCACCTGAAAGTGAAATCAAGATCGCTGGTTATTTGAACTTGGTGGCAGACTTTCTACACAATTTTACAGATGGTCTAGCTATAGGAGCTAGTTACATGGCTGGAAATAGTATTGGTTACGTAACGACATTCACAATACTGTTACATGAGATTCCACATGAAATTGGTGATTTTGCCATTCTGATACAAAGTGGATATAGTAAAAGAAAGGTAAAGTATAAACAGATACAACATTATTGTCTATGTTTGCTTGAGAAAAGTCACTCGATCAAATTATACAAAATATGAAATGCGGTCAAAGATTCTTGTAGTTGTGACTTATTATAAAGTTCAACATGTACAAAAAGTTTACAGTTTTAAAAGTTTTATCATTTTGTTTGTATGTGTAGGCTATGATGTTGCAGTTGACCACTGCTATAGGAGCTTTATTGGGAACTTTCGTTTCTTTATTAGCAGATGGAATGGGTAAGAAACATGTAATAGCAACATTTAAATAGACATCAGATTTTAGCTTTTATTCCATTTAATTTTGTCTTTGTGTTCTAGGTGATTTTGCAACAAGGTGGATTCTTCCCTTCACAGCAGGAGGTTTTATTTATATTGCAACTGTTTCTGTAATACCAGAACTTTTAACTGCTACTAAACTTTGGCAGTCAATTATGGAGATATCTGCCCTTCTTTTTGGAGTATATATGATGGTTCTTATAGCAGACTACGAATAAGAAATACATTGGCTATAGAGAGGATAATTTATTTTGTTATACTATTTTCATTCAGTTCATTTCATTCTTGCTCATTAAGCTTTGAAAACATTATTGGATAAGTAGCAGCGCAGAAAAGTAATTTGTTTTTAATGTAATTAACTGGAATTGCATTTATGTCTCAGTGAAGAACAAGATTATGAAATGAACGGAATTGTAAAAACAATGTCTAACAAAAAAAAGATTTACAACAGTTATTATTTTTACATTAAGAAAAAATCTCAGTGATTTTGTGAAATATAAAATATTTAAAGATCATTATGATTTATGTACTACTTTATGATATTACTTTAATATAGCTAAATAGTGTGTTTGATAATATATATATTTTGTTATAAAGAGTAATGATTTCATATTTACACAGTTTGTTCCTATACATTTTTTTTATTATGTTCAGTATGTTTTTTAGTTTGCATATGAGACTATATTTGATAAATAGTTAGAAATTATATTCCGAATTTATAATGATTATTATCAAAATAAGTCTGATATATACATATATATATATAAAAATCAAATATTTGGATGAAATAGTAGATACATTTTAAAATTGTGGATTAGCTTGAATGATAGCAAATGTATGTTGTGCGCATAAATTTAAATAAGGACAACTAGTTTAACTCTTTATTGCTTATTATACTTGTACAATAAATCTATTCTTATGATTGTTTATAATGAATCTTTGTTTGTAATAGAGCCTAAATATATTTTCTGCATGATGTGATATGATATAATGACTTGCAAATGGTATATGCCTGCAATCTGTTAATATAGCTTAATTCAATGCTTTCGAATTTACAATAAGATATAGATAAGATATAAAAATTCACATAAACTATGAAATTGCTAAAAAAAAATGTTTTTCCAAAACGAAGATAAATTACTATAATAAATATTAATACTATAACAAAAATATATTATAATAAATATTGGTGCTGTGGATTGATATTTATTGTCGAAAATATTTTGCAAAAAAAACTGTAAATACAGTCTAGTGCATTAAAATGGCAATCATGTTTATGGCCAAAACTTTTGAGAATGTTTCTTCAAAAAATTATACGTGTATGTACATACTCTATGTTATTATTATTTAAATCATTATATATACATATTATTCAATATTTTATATTACAATTTCTTATTTAATAATGGGAATATGTTATAAATGAAGTTTTAATGTGTTCATTGTGACATAATATAAGAAATCTAATGTAAAAAAACTGAAGATGCACAAATTATATCAATAACATTACACATATGAAATATATTAAATTATAACATTCCAGAAGTAAAACGTGTTTTTTATATTAATGACTAGTCTGTTGAATACCAAATAATAAATAGTTTATTTTATTTAAAAAATTATATTTTGGAATCAGACCTTTATTACAATCATTAAAATTCTTTAAATACTTTTTTACATATATTTACAATGCTAATTCTCTAAATCTTCTTTAAACATATATTTTTAACAACTATCTGAAATAATCATAAGGATTTACAACGACAGTAATCTTTTTACTTCCTTGAGACATTCATCTGCTTCTAACAAAGACTCATTGTCTTCTTTACTTTCAGCTATTTTTTTTCCTCGTTGACAAGATTTTTTAGCTTCATCATATAAACCTTTTTTTAGAAGCACACTTCCTAAATTCACGTGAATTGAACCCAAGTCAACCATATCAGGTAAGTTTTCCCCTAAAAATATTATGTAGTATATTATATGAGATTAATAATTATAAAAGTTACAAGTATATTGATATTCATTGTGATATCTTTTACCTATTTTTACTGCGGCAGACAAATATTTAATAGCTTCATCATATTCTTCTCGTATACAACAAATTGTTCCCAAATCATTAAGCAGAACAACAGTTTGTTCGTGTTCTTCACCATTCATTTTTTTACATATATTATAAGCTTGAAGGAGATAATTCAAAGCTTCGGTATATCGAGATTGTGAAAGTAACATTCGCGCGTACCAATCAAAAGCTATACCCTGTAGCAACACAGCGTCTTTATTATCAGGATCTTTTTCGATGTGTGATTTCAAATTTTCCATACAAAATATATAACCCTGCTCTGCTTTCCTGTGTGAAATAAAAAATATATATCTTATATATAATATACTATAATATACTATAATGTACTAATAACAAAAAGGAGAAATATGAGTTAATTAGAAATATGATGGTTAATTATTAAAATTTAGAATTAATTCTGCTTTTTATATGTAATCTTTTAGAATATAAATCTTTAATTCCACGCCATGCTTTATAAAAAAAAAAACAGTAAAGTTATTGAAGATTATATTGCTTACTTTGGCTCGTTAAGATGTTCAAACACTTTGGCCATTTTCAGGCTTATATGGATGACTCGCATGTCATCTTCTGTGGCTCCATTCGACATTAGCCTTTGCAAAACTGATACGAACAATTGCTCTGCTTTGCGATATTTTCCAGTGTCGAAAGCAAGATTAGCCATTACATCATAGATGTATGTGACAGCATCATAATGTTGTACGGTTTGTGCTTGGCGTAACGCTAAGTGTAGCATTTGCTCTGCTTTATCATATTCTCCCTTCTATAAAGGGAAAGCAAATGTTGCTGAAACTGTATGAGATTCAAATGAAGATTCAACCCCTCTTAATATCGTTTCATCATAAACATTTATATATATTAAAAAAATATTTATATATATGTACGAATATTACATGTAATATATTTATATATATTTAAAATATTTATTCTTACATAAATATTAAATACATAAGATAGTCTCAACATATACATATATCTAACCTGTATCAATAATACGGATCGTTTGATCGTCATAATGACTTCCGGGACTTCTTCGTCGGTATCTTCGATACCAAGAAGATAATTGAAAATTAATGTAGGCAACGATACTGCAAGGAGCATCCTGGATTTTCTGTCCTGCGACTTGTGACTATCGTTGAAACGATATCTTTCTATCCTAGCGGTAAATCGCGGGAGTTTCACAAAAACATTTTTATAAACATGTACATTACGTCGAGTATTCACTCCGGAACGAATAAAATTAATATTTGGTAGAACGCATCTCGACATATGCGATATCGAATTCAGACGGTACATTTTGACAATCAGGTGGACTAATGTCAACACCGTCAACACATCGCAACGTAGCACCAGCTGATCATCAGTAGCAAGTGCACTTTCAGACACTTCGTTCTGTGTTCTGCTCGTTCTGTTCCATGAGATGCTACAAATGCTTTGAAACATTTTTTGATTGGTCAATTAGTGAAACTTCTTCTGGTTGGTCAATTAAGAATATGTCAATAAATTTTTACCCGCCGTTTCCGCCGTTGTTGCAAGTGAAATTTTTCTACAAATAACCGCCGCTAGTTATTTTGTCTAAAATACCAATGCCGATATATTTGATTATATTTAATGTAAAAGTCTATCATGACTAGATCAGTAAGGTTAGCAAAACAACGGTCGGAAATAATCATAAAAAAACATTTCTGACATAGAAATCAAATTATAAAAGTTAATTTTGCAACTAATTGTTATAACATTATTTTAATTGAAAATAATCTTAAATCAATAACAGTATTAGCGAAACAGAATTTTATTAAAACAAGAGTATGACATGTATATATTTGTTTCATTAATAGTGTTATTGAATTAAGAAAATTAATTTCAATTAAAATAATGCTGTTGATGGAGCCATTACGTGACATTTGCATTCTGACAAGTGAGATATGTAATTAAGCTTTTATCTATAATCTGCATAAGCTCGAGATCATGTATTTTATTGAATCTTGTTAACATCGCCTTAAAAGTGAGGTTATATAACCTGTGTCGCTATGCGATAACTTTAGGTCTGTTTTTTATTCCTGCACTCATCACTGAACTGGTGCAATAAGTTGAAGTGAAACAAACGTATATTTGTTGTTCAGAGACATAAAAAACAAACCTTATCACCAAAGTAGGTAAGTAATGCTAATGACGTCATTATCTATAAAACGATAACTTTACGACTCGGTATCCTACTTGCGTAAAAATGGAAAGAACTATTGTGATGCGATTATCCATTAGCTTTGCTTTCAAAGACAAATTTTTTGGGAAATAATTAAATCACTGGAAGATTTAAAGGTGTCAGCACTAATCATTCCATTTAATTTCAAAACTCATCATCGATAAGATACTCGCGCCATTTTTACGTGTGGACTTTTTGGCTTTTTATCTCAATTGGCCCCAATCTCAATTAAATTGTAATTTCAATTTGGCTAATTAAGAAATTAGCGAAACTGAAGAAATTAATAAAATTAGATTAACTGGCTTCACTACATCAGTTTGTACTTTTATTTATTGTTATCATCGAGATATACATATCCCAGACAGCACAGAATATATTTATATGATAAATATTTATTAATATTCATTTTTTGAAATGCTATATAGATATTTTATACATATTTTATATAAAGCTTTATTCGAAATATTATTAAAATA